ATTAGGTTGTGCAAAGGTAATTGCGGTTTTTGCCATTACTTTTAATGACAAAGTATCTATCTGTGTATGTGTGTGTGTGTGTGTGTGTGTGTCTATATATATACACACAAAGATACTTAGAATTATGTCAATAGATAGTGATGCTTTTTCCCTTGTAATACCTTTTGCTTTAAATTTTCTTGAGGTTTACTAAAAAAGGGTTACCTTTTAACTTTGAAATCTATTACCTTTTAACTTCGAATGTCCTTATGTTTTAGGTACCCACTTTTAAATATATATACATATGTTTAACCATTAACATATAAACATATTTTTAGTTGTTTTTAAGTAATGCTTAGCAATTGTTTTAAAGTAATAAATTACTGCAATTATTGATTTATTTGGATTCATTAATATCATTTTTAAAAAATCTCCTCTTTGGGCCAGGTGTGGTGGCTCATGCCTGTAATCCCAGCACTTTGGGAGGCCGAGGCTGGCAGATCGCGAGGTCAGGAGACCAAAACCATCCTGGCCAACATGGGGAAACTCTGTCTCTACTAAAAATACAAAAATTGGCAGCGTGGTGATGCGTGACTGTAATCCCAGCTACTCGGGAGGCTGAGGCAGGAGAATCGCTTGAACCAGGGAGTTGGAGGTTGCGGTGAGCTGAGATAGCACCACTGCACTCCAGCCTGGTGACACAGCCAGGCTCCGTCTCAAAAAAAAAAAATCTCCTGTTTGGCCTGCTGTTTTTTGTGACCAAGGGCCTTCTGCTGTACCCTTGTTTGCATTCTTTTAGATTCATTTTCCCTTTTAAAAAAAAATTCTGTTGTTTTTTTTTCTATTTTGGAAAATTTATTCTATACTTATTTTTTCCCTCAATGGTTATACTAAATTTTAATGTACCATCCTTCCATACAATACGGTGATTTAGAATGCTTTAACTCTGCTTACTTTATCCCAACTTAAATATGATTATTTTTCAGTGTTTTATTTCTGTTGTATATTGGGATCAATCTCTTTCTTCAATAGATTTATAAATTTCTTAAACATTTTCTTTGCTTACTATTCCTTTTTACTTATTAGACTTTCTTTTTTTGATGATTTCCTTCTAGCTAGTGTCCATGGTTTAAACAGTGAAGCTGTACTCTGTTTTGTCTCAAAATACTCATGTTTTATATTTTCTCAAAAAATAATTTTGCTAAATTTATAACAATTCTAGGTTGACAGTCTTTTTGTCAACATGTTTTGTCTTTTGTTGTTGCAGTTGGGAAGTGTTTGGAATAATCTATTATTTCTTTCTAGCTTCTTGTAATATCTTTTTTTTTTCTCTCAATGTTCTGCAATTACATTGGGCAGTACCAGCTGATTTCATTTATTCTGGTTGGGATTCTTTGACTTTTCTGAATATGAGAAGTATTGTCTTTCACTAGTTCTGGAAAATTCACATAAAGTTTCTTTTTAAAAATTGCCTCTGTCTCCTTTTATTAGCTCTTCGTATAGTAATAACGCTGAGTAGGCATATATTAAGCCTTTTTATTTTCTTCTCCATGTTTAAAAAATCTTATTTATTATTTTGTGTCTTTGTATTTTTTCTCCTTTTTGGCTTTAGCCTTTAAGATTTTCATTATTTTCTTTGACAATTCTGTCATAAATTTTAAGTCATTTTGTTGATGTTCTTGCTTATTCATAATTTTGAAATGTGCTTTATCATAAAATTTTCTCCAGAAATCTAGTCTACGTATTCCCTGTAACAAAAATGTAAATTATTTAATTTCTTTGACATCTATAAAATGAGAATTAGTGTTTATATTCCTTCTTATTCCAAAGAAGAATTACTGGCAGTGACTAACAAAAACATAAATAATCTACTAGTATAAAATCAGTAGTTGAGGAAATTAGTGTAAGAGAAAATTAGCATGGGAAAATAAAATAAAACTAAGGAAACAGTTTATGCCAAACAAGACAAAACAAACAAAAAAGGTTGTACTTTCTATAAAGTTGGTATTGTTTGATCAAAAATCATTTGGGGTGCTTCATGATATCCAACGGAAAATACAATTATATATAAAATTTAGTGTCTTACAATAAAACATACCAATTGCTCAGAAAAGGTAGGTGTTCCTGAAATGTCTCTCACTGGTCTTTGAAATGACAACAGGTGAAGTAGGAGTGGCAAAATCTTCTGTGGTTTTCCTATAATTTCTTCATTTTGAAATATTATTTTCTGAATGTTTTATTTTTTAGAGATGGGGTCTTGCTTTGTCATGTAGACTTGAGTTACAGTGGCTTGATGGTAGCACACTGCAGCTTGGAATTCCTGGGCTCAAGCAGTCTTTCTAGCTCCTCCTCAGTAGTTACAGGTGCATACCACCATACCTGGCTAATGTGTTTTTAAAATTTTTTAAGAGAAGAGGTCCCAATATGTTGCCCAGGTTAGTCTCAAACTCTTAGCCTCAAGTGATCCCCCCACCTCAGGCTCCTGAGTTGCTAGCATTGCAGGTGTGAACCACTGTGCCTGGCTCCTTTACAATTCTTACAGATCGCCCAAAGCATGCCAGTGGCATAATTCATGCTGTTAATTATGGGTAGAAAGTGGAAGAATTGATGTAAATATGTTGTTAATGAATGAAATTTTATCCCTTTTGATACCATTTTAAAGTAGTATTATGAAAAAATTATATTTAACTGGTTTAAAATATGAAAAATAGATATTTTATTATCTATGCTTTATAAAAAAGATAAGTGTATGTGTTCGATTTTGTAAAAACAGATAGTTCATTGATACAAGTTATAGCCCTGTCCTTGTTAATAAAAATGTTATTATACATTTGAACTCCCTTTCTTATTACTGCCTGTTATTTAAAAATTATAATATGATAGTATTATTTAAAAAGAAATCCTCACATGTTATTTTTCTTAGACAGAAGACATCTTTTTTTGGTTGGTGTACATTTTATTCTTAAAACAGATCTTAACATCATGCATAAAAAAATTTGCACTCTTTTTCCTTTAGACATCTCTTTGCATTCTTATTTGTTTTCTGTCATGTTTGACAAATTTAAAACACAAATAAGTAATAGCAAAACTTGAGTTAAAATAGTACTTCTTCTGACTACCAACTAGTTGTGTTTTGTAGTGTAGCAAAGCTGATAAATTAGGTGCTATTTTACGGTTCAGCTAGAGCAAATGAAAATAATTTATCAGAAAACCAAAAAAAAAAAAAAAAAAACACTGAATCACAGGTTTTTAAGAATCAGTGAAACACTCTGGAAGTAACTTGAGTTTAACAGCATGATTATTGATGTTTAACAGTTAAGTTGTACATTCATTCTGAAAGATTTATGGCCCTGATTTTATTATGAACTTTACTAATGTAAGAATCTAACGAAATATGAAATATAGTTCAATATGTTACAAAAGGAAAAACAAATCACATTTCTCCCAAAGTGAAAACAGAAGTCGTCAACATGTTATAAATGTTGAAGTTTAAAATACTGACTTAGGAAGACATATCTGGTTTTTTGGATTTATTTTGTTTGTTTTAGACAAACAATGAGATAAAACAATCTTAATATTTAAGTATAATATGAAAAACAATATATACATCATTGATTTTATATATGTAAACACACATATATCACAATATCTGTAGCCTAATATTTAGCATAGTTAGTAATATTCTGGATCATTAACAAATGATTAATAAGGTTCATTAATGTTCTTAAAATGGGAATCATTAAGTATTATTTTAGAAAAAAAGTGAGTGTCATAGGTGGGAACTGAACAATGAGATCACTTGGACTCGGGAAGGGGAACATCACACATCGGGGCCTATCATGGGGAGGGGGGAGGGATTGCATTGGGAGTTATACCTGATGTAAATGACGAGTTGATGGGTGCTGACGAGTTGATGGGTGCAGCACACCAACATGGCACAAGTATACATATGTAACAAACCTGCACGTTATGCACATGTACCCTAGAACTTAAAGTATAATAATAATAATAAGAAGAAGAAAAAAAGTGAGTGAATTGATTTTGGTGAGAATAGTGATAAAGAAACTGATAATAAGGACATTATAGAATTGAAAGCCCTAAATAGGGAATACTTACCTTGCCTTGTTTGAATTGATTGACCCATTCTTTTTTCACTGGGGCCTTGTATGTAGAGGAAACATTGAAATTACAACTTAAAGTTAATGTAGAGCATTAAAACATTTACAAATAATTTATCAACCAGTAATTATTGCTTTACCATTTTATACGGTTTATTATGCTATTGTTTTTCCATTCATTTCATATTTTTAAGGAAACTATCTTTGTCAGCATTTTGAGATTATGAAATTTAAATCAAAACAATTCCAGATTTCAGAAATGAACAAATAGAGACACCAAGTGGTTATTAATTATGGGCAATTAGAGCTTTCTGGGTAAAGAGGCAGCTTTAGGCCAGGACTGGTTGCTCACGCCTATAATCCCAGCATTTTGGAAGGCTGAAGTAGGAGGATTGCTTGAACCCAGGAGTTCAAGACTAGCCTGGACGACATACTGAGACATAGTATCTACCAAAAATAAAATTAGCTAGGCATGGTGGCACACACCTGTAATCCCAGCTAGTAGGGAGGCTGAGATGGGAGGATCACTGGAGCCCAGGGATTTGAAGCTGCAGTGAGCTATGAATTGCGCCATCGCACTCTGGCCTCGGTGACTGAGTGAGACCCTGTCTCAAAAAAATCCAAATAACAACAACAAATGAAGCATCTTTCAAATACAAGCCATTACAGTATGTAATTTTAAAATCATTTTTCTCCAACTTTAAGTTCTTTTATTTTTTTAACTGCTTAAACAGTGAAATATTAAGCCAGTTGAAGAAAGATAATATGATTATAAACTGTTGACAACATTTTTTCTCTCTATTTTTATAAAACAAAATATGTCTGTTTTTGTACCTATGCTCTTTCTTCCTGTTCGACTGAAATTATTTTTATTTGTTGATACTTATTATTTTCTTCATTCAGGTTATTTCACAGTTGAGGATTTTGGGCAGATCCGTAACAGCTGGTTCCAAATTTGATAGAGAAATCTGGTCTAATGAACTTTCTCCTGTCCTCAATCTCTGGAAGAAACTAAACCAGGTTAGTAGTGGAATATTCTTCCGATTCTTTTGCTTTTTTCTCCCTGTCATTTTTTCCAGCATCATAACCATGTGCTCCCCATTTCTGCCTGAGTCATACAAGTAATCACATTGCACAGGTTCCTAACTGTGAAGTCATGGCCCAGGACCTCCTTTCTCCATACCAGTGCACATCAAAGTTAGTATTCTTTACTCACTCTTTTATGAAACCGATCTTTCCTTATCTTTAAATAAGTAATCAAATTCACATAATTTCAGTTTTCCCCTTTAGCAGTTCATTCCTTGTCTCAATGTTTGATAATTTTCTTCCCTTAGGACTAGGCTTCTTGTAACACTTTCTGAGCCCAGTTTCCAACTTTTTTTCAATGACATTGGCAGTTTTGTATTTTCTAGTGATTTTCCCAATTCGTGCAGTTCTTAAAATGTATATACATATACAACCATGTAGGTATTCATATTATATATATTATTATGTAATATAGCTATTTATTCTGAGAATAATGTATGATTATTTTCAGTTTTTACTTAGTAATAATATGGAAATGGCATTATTTGCATAATTGACCAAGTTTACCTCTTATTAAACAGAAAACCGATGGCAAAAGTAACCTTAATTATTGCAAAGATCTCATCTTACATTTTGGAGACATAATCCAGGTATTCGTTGGAAAGTTTCCTTCTCCGTGAAATATAGTTAACTTGTTTGACTCAATTTCCAGAGTTTGGGGGAAGATTAGAGTCCACTCTATAGTTTTGGCACCTTAGTCCCCTATAATTTTTCTCTGCCTACTTCTAAATTTGTACTGTCCATGTTGTTTTTATTCCAAATTCGATTTAACCTTAAAGCACAACTTACCTATCTGTTTTTTATAAGAAATTCGGTCATGTGATTTTGTAGCTTTACTGATCATTAATGAAGTGCGAGGAACAGCTCATATTGCTAAGTGTGCTGTCTTCTACTAAGTCACTTTTCTTTGAACTACATTCTTTGAAGTTTTAGCACTTCTTAAAGTTCCCACAGTTGACTCTTCCATCTGTGCGAAATTTACTTGGATGTGTCGTTTAGACTTCCTTGCACTACCTGCTTCTCTTCATCAGGCACATCTGATTTTATTGCTAGTCTCTCTCCCTCACTGCCAGCACACATACATACCTTCTTCGTCATTCTGAGAAAACTTTTTTCGATTATTACATAAAGAGGACTATATGAATGACTTCAAAGGCTTATATGTAGATTATTTGCCTCCTATGACCCCACTCAAGATTAGAAACTCAGTGTATTCTCTGCCGTTCCCCAAACCCTCGTTTTCTTTGTTTTTCTTTTTCTTTTCTTTTTTTTCTGTTTTTTGTTTTTTGTTTTTTGAGATGGAGTCTCACTCTGTCACCAAGTTTGGAAGGCAGTGGCACCGTCTCTGCTCACTGCAGCCTCCGCCTGCCCGGTTCAAGCGATTCTCCTGCCTCAGCCACCCAAGTAGCTAGGACTACAGGCACACGCTACTGCAACCAGCTAATTTTTATATTTTTAGTAGAGATGCATTTTCAGCATATTAGCCAGGCTGGTCTCAAACTCCTGACCTCAGGTGGTCCACCTGCCTCAGCCTCCCATAGTGCTGGGATTACAGGCGTGAACCACCACGCCCAGCCCAAACCCTCATTTGGAATGCAGATATAGCCCATTACTAGTTCTCTGATGTTGGATTTCTGCCACAACGGACCCCCTAATTACCTGATTCCTACATACAAAGGAAACAGGGTAGAATCCGGGGTTTGAATTAGCATTCAAAAATCATAATTTTATTTTAGGGGAAATCATAATTTGATTATGAAATTATGATTTCCCCTAAAATAAAATTATGATTTTTGAATGCTAATTAATAATGCAGTTAAGTATTTTGAATTCTCGTGACTTATGTGACAGAGATAAAAATGTAACTTCTAGAACCAGGCTGGTGGGGTTCAAATTTCAGCTCCAGAACTTTCTAATTGTATAACTTAGGAAACTTACTTGACTTTTCTGTAAAATGGGTATAGTGATAGTACTTACTATCATTACTTACTATCATCACCAGCAGTGATATTATTCATGAGGATTAAATGCATTAATATATGTAAAGCTTTTATAATAGTGTCTGGCATATGTAAGCGCTCTCTTTTAACTATTCATTTAACATTTCTTGAAGGTACTTTTATTATGAATAGTCATTTATAATACATGACCATTCGTTTTACCCTTTTTCAAGCAAATTATTTTTATTTATATAATCATATTATTGGTCAGTTGTTCATTCAAATATTTTAATGAGTATGTAATGTGTTTCAGTGATTTTTATGCTAGGGACTAAATAGAGAAACTTGTGGACAGAACAGTCATGGTACCTACCTTGTGGAGTTTACAGTTAGTTCATAAGAGAGATATTAAAAGATGAAGCAAGTAAATAAATTATTACAAATTATTGCAGATGCTGTGGATGGAAAGGACAAGTGCTGTTATAATAAGGGAGAAGACCTATTTTGGCCTGGATAGTTAGGGAGTATCTTGTTTGAGAAGTGAAATTGAATCCAAGATATGAGCAATGAGAAGCTAGGCAGACAGAGTTGGAGGGGAAGACTACTTTAAGCCAAGGTGACAGCATACACACATTCCCTGAGAAGAGAAAATGCTTGCCGCAGTCAATGAAACTGAAAGGATGCCAGTGTGATTGGAGTATAGAGACTAAAGGATAAAGTAGATGAGGTAAGGGGATGCTATGATCTGAATGTTTGTTTCCCTCTTGAAATTCATATGTTGAAGTCTTAACTCTCAAAGGGATGGTATTTGTAGATGCGGCCTTTGGGAGGTTTGATTAGGGCATAAGAATAGAGCCCTCACAAATGGGATTAGTGCCCTTGTTAAAGAGGTTCCAGAGAGATACCTTACCCCTTCCTGCACGTGAGGACACATCAAAAAGACAGTCATCTCTGAATCAGGAAGCAGGTGCTCACCAAACACAGAATCTGTGACGTCTTGATCTCATATTTCTCAGACTCCAGAACTGTAAGAAATACATTTCTGTTGTTTATAAAGCTACCTAGTTTATGGTGTTTTGTTATACCAACCAGAGCAGACTAAGACAGGGGAAGGAATTTTATTCCAAGTCCAATGGAAAACCATGAAAGTTATAGGTAGAGTTACAGGTAGAACTTCCTTCAGAAAGTTTTTGAAGAAAGCTGTTGTGTAGAAGATGGTGAGAAAGTAAGGAGAACATTCAGGAGACTCTTGCAGTAGTCCAGGTAAGAGCAGTTGATGCCCTTGAGTAATGCCAAAATGTGGAGTTATTATCAGAAGAAGAGTGGCTGGAGTATCAGTGAGGGAAACAAACAAAAACAAAAAAAGCCAAAAAAGAACAGAAGACTGTGTTATCATGGAAACCTTGAGGAATCTTTAGTTAGGAATGAAATTGTTAACTAGGCCAAATAGCTTCTGAGAGGTTAAACAAAATGAGGACAGAATTAACCATTGGATTTTCAGAATAAAAGCTGTCGCTGGTGACCCTGACAAGAAAAGTTTAGGTGGAATAAGGAGACTAGAAGTTAGATTTAAAGGCCAACTAGAAATGTGAGATGAGGAAGTAGAGTCAATGTATCTAGACAATTCTTTTTTTAAATGTGCTATAAAGGAGAATAGCAAAATACAGGGCCCAGTGTGTTTTTTTCTTAGAGAGGGAAAGTAAGTATTAGGTTGGTTTTAGGCTAATGAGAAAGATTCAGTAGAGGAAGTAGCTGAAGATGCTGAAAAATTAATTAAAGCTCTTAAACCATTTAGGAAAACAAAAACAATGATTTTTGCTAAACGAGGGATCCATAATAAATATAGACGCTCTTGCTTCTTAAATATGTTAATTTTTTTTTTTTTCTTTAGAGATGGAATCTTGATGTAACTATTTCTATCAATGTGAAACTACTGAAGTTTAATCTTGCCGTGCTTTTCTGTCCTTGCTTCTGGCCACATAGAATTCCATTGTTCCAGCATTTACAAGATTGTTTGGTTTCTGTGTTTGTTTTTAATTATTGGCTCAATCAGGATACATGAAATATTTTTCCCACTTTTTACAAATGTTGATATAATCCCAGGTATTCCTTTAAGCTCTTCTCAATGTCACATTTCAAACCAATTCAATTAATCGTTTCATCTTTCTGTCCCTTTGTTTTCTTTGACTTGGCTTAGTTGACAAAATAGAGTGCTATAAAGTTGCTAAACATCCTTGTTCCCAATTTGATCTTTATATATCTACTCTTTAAATGATTTAATAGGTGGCCAGGCGCAGTGGCTCACGCCTGTAATCCCAGCACTTTGGGAGGCCAAAGTGGGAGGATCACCTGAAGTCAGGAGTTCAAGAACAACCTGGCCAACATGGTGAAACCCCCATCTCTACTAAAAATACAAAAATTAGCCAGGCATGGTGGTACACGCCTGTAGTCCCAGCTACCTGGGAGGCTGAGGCAGGAGAATCACCTGAACCCGGGAGACGGAGGTTGCAGTGAGCCAAGATTGCACCACTGCACTCCAGCCTGGGTGACAGAGCAAGACTCTGTCTCTAAATAAATAAATAAATAAATAAATAAATAAATAAATAAATAATGATGTGATAGGCATTTCATTTAAGTACACTGACAACTGGTCTAGGTTTAGCTTGATTTTTATCCTGTTATTTTGCACGAGATGCCTTAGTAATACTACAGTTCCAAGAAACTGTTCCAACCTGTTTTTCTTAACACATCAGAGGTAAATGTGCAAGAATACTTTAATTGTTTTGAAGTAATTTTCTCCAAAACTCAGCTTCTCTTGTCTCTCCACTGCTTTTTTTCTTAATTAGAACTATGAGTTTATGAGAAAATCAGTTTAGGATATGTTTATAAGTGAGCTGGAGAGGAGATCTACTAGTGTGTTATTTCAACTGAGAGAGAATGTTTATCCAGCTGCTCTAAAGATTCTAGAATTTAGCAATTTCAAAATTGCTATTA